AAATGGCTGGCAATAACTCTTAACTTTATAAATTCTGTTCAAAAATTAAAAATAATGTTAAACCAAAGCAGCAGTTTTAACTGGTTTTGCTATCAAATATTGTGAATTTGTTTAAGAAATAGTCCCTGCTTGTGGAAGAGTAACAAATTTCATTATTGTCAAAAAAAAAGAAGAAAAGGAGTATGGAATTAATTTATACCTAAAGTACAGTTGCCTGTCATAAAAATATGTCAATGAAATATCAAACACTAGCAGGAAAAGGTGGATTGTGGCTCTTATTTTGTCTTTTTGGCCACTCTGTTGTCTAATCTCTTTATGTTACTGTTTTTGCTTTGCTATTCTGGAAGTGAATTGGGAGTATGGATGAAAACAGATTAGCCATTACAGTACCACAGTCTCTGACAAGGTAGTATCAGAATGATTTATTTTTCTTTGTGTCTCAGACTTCAGTGACCAGACCAAGACTTTGTGTCTGCTCTCTGATTGGGCTGTTTTGTTAGCCAAGTACCTTCTGAAGAACTGGTAGGTGGTTTCTCTTTCAAACAGAGACTGTAGGTAGAAGAGCCTTAATTAATTCAAGACAGTTGAGCAGTGGAGCAGAACTGTTATTCTTACAAGCTTACAAGTGGTTCTTAGACTTAGTTCTTATAAATGTCCTACATGTACCTGGAGATCTTCCATGCTGAAATATGAAAAGGTGACGTTTCTAAAATCTACTACCCTTAACTTTTAAAAGTGAAGATAATTGTCTTAGTGCAGCACAGCAATTCCGGACTGTTTGTAATTTCTTGATATTGCAGGTAATTCAGAGTGGTGCTTCTACTGTTTTATATGTGTTCTTTTTTAATGTGGGGGAAAGAAGAAAAGAGAAAAAGAACATTTACTGTGGATCCTTTTTGTGTGTTCACCTGTGGTATGCATTTATTGCCTAACACGTCTGTTTGAATATAAAATGAAAATCAGCTGTTTATTAGCTACTTCAGATATTTTTCTGTGTAGACCTGTGTTCTATACTGATTTAATCATAGTTATAGCCACACAATAATTCTTCTAAAAGCTCATTTAGTGGATCCACTGTTAAGCATATTTGTAGATTACTTGCTACACACAGGCTTTCCAAGCATGATGTGGAAGAACTGGATATTTAAGATTTCAAGAAACCAAGTTAAATCTAAGTTAACTCCAAGAAGAAATGTTGAGGGATGGAGATGGAAAAGAATTAGGTAGCTATATACACATAGGAAGCACCTCAAGATTTAAGCCATTTGGCAAGGTCAGTTGGTTCTCATGAAAAACAGTGAAGCTGCTGAGTTTACTCTTGAGGCTTCAGTATGGCTAGCAGAAGAAAGGCTAGTGGTATTACTTAGTAGTCATGCCATAGTGTGTTTTCTGCATTACCTGGAAATGAAATAAAGCTTAAAGAAATAATGGACTTGCATGCTGGGAAGATATTTATATGGATAATGAAGTTCTGCATTTTTTGTACTACAGCTGTCCAAACATTTAGTAAAAGCACTTGGCAAATGCTAATGAATTTGTTCTCACAACAGAAGCAAAGACATGACAGCCAGCATTTTTCAAATTTAAGTGTCTAAAATTAGACAACAAAGCGTTTTTAGAACCCATAATAAAAGTGATTGAATTTTTACAACTGTGGAATACTCACAGCTCTCTGCAAGTAGCTTCATTACTCATACAAACTGTAAGCATTTGTGGAAGACACATGATTTTTCCCACCAGTGTGGGGAAAAAAAGCCTCATCCTGTTAATTTGCAAGCTCTCATTCATGTTCAGGGCATTGATATTTAGTTCCTGGGTTCTGGTGCAGCAGCAGCTGATATTGTGTTGCTGGGGTTGATGCTCAGAGTTTTGAAAGTGATTCAGTGGAAGTTTTGCAGATGATCTCTGAGGGTTGGACCATTACTGGTTAACTGGTAAGTAATTCTATATATGGTTATTTACATCATATCAGTTTTCAGCCCTAGAGTCCACAAAAAGAAGAACAACAATGAAGTCAAGCATGTCTTTGGTCAACAAAAAGATACAACAGAGAGGAACCACAGACTTGCTGAATTGCAATGACACCAGATAAGCAAGGATGAAATTAGAAAATAGCTTAAATTCTCATTAAGATATGTACACAGGATTGAGAAAAAAATTCAGAAAAAAATTGTCCATAATGCTAGCAAAACACTTCTGGGAGGGAGGGAGGGAGGGAGGGGGATAGGAAAGCAAGAGAGAACCTCAAATCAGCCATCCTGACCTCCACAGATAAGAATCAGGTTGCTTAAAGAAGAACTTGCATTTTAAAATACGAGCTTGAAAAAACCCCATCTTTCTTAACCCGTTACTCTTCCAGAATTATATGGTTTAAAATATCTTAAGAAAATTAGATTTATCTAGCATCAAAATCTTTTACTTTTTTTCTGTCCTGAGACAATTTTGGTTTTGATGTTTATTGGATTTTTGACCCATCTTGTTTTAACTCCTTGTGAATCCCAACCCTTTGGATAACTCTGCCAGATACAACTTTCTTCCCAGGCTGAACTGACCGGG